ATGCTTGAATTGCATGAATTATGCTCTCTTGCTCTATTTGCCTACAAAACACACAAAGGGAGGCAAATAACTCAGAATTATAGGAAACTAAGCAAAAGAAGTAAGTAAATTGGGCATGTATATGTATGAAATTATGAGCTTAACAAGCAGCCTCCACAACAGAAACGTAGTAAGAAGAAATTTATTCTTGAAGGTGGCAACCCCCCGTCAAAAAGGAAAAAATTTCTTCTGTCACTTAGCCCAGGCTGCTCTCTAAAACTCACTAGAGGAACTGTGGGGGTTAGAGCTGGTGCTAAAGGGGGGGCGTAAACGGGCACAGGGCTCCACTGATGTGGCTAAGTCTGCAATCAATGACTCATCGTTGTGTGAGGTAGTGGTGAGTCCATCCAAAGAGTTGGAAATCCTTGAACTGAGGGCTAAGAATGGTCACATTGATGGCGGTGGTGGCTGGCCTTTGACAGCCACAAGAGGTCCATGAAATTACCATTTTGGAATTGTCATGGTCGGGGCATTTTCCTGACAATTCCTCACAGAAAGATGCTTTTATGCTCTATAAGCCCCTCTACACTGTGCCTCTGTCTTCTTATTGGAGGTGTCGGCAACTTTGTTTTTGTGCGTTTGTCTTTGTTTCCTATTATGCTTGTTTTCCCCCGATTCCTTGCGGCTTTGTCTCGATGTTGGATCTTCTCCACCGCGTTACATTCTGGAGCGTCTCTCCTCAGTAATACTATTGCTGTTGAGGATGCTTTTAAAGTGCATTTGGCACTTACCTCTCGGATTATAGTAGCGCTCTCTGTAGCTGTGATGGCGTATCCATCACCATCTTCCTCTCGGTTCTTTGGCTTCTGTGACTTCTCTGGTGGTTTTGGTCTTGCGTTGGGTGCCTTGCCAATTGGTTACTAGTGGTGCGGCATTTCTCAGTTTCTTGTATTACGGGTTTTCTTTTTGTTTCTTGGCTTTTGTTGTTCTTTTAATTTGACTGGGTAGGAAGCTTGGTTCTAGCCTTGAAATGAGGTATAGCTGCTTCTACCTGGTTCGTGTATTTCTGGCTCAGTTTGCAATCTATCATGTTTTGATTTCTTTGAAACCAAACATTGACCAAAAAAAGTTGAGCATTCCTCTGTATACGATTTTAGCTCCAAGGCGGATTTGTTATACCACGTAATTGTATTCTAGTCAATAACCTTTTCATCATATGATCATCAGTAAAGACAACTATTTTATTTTTTATTTTTAATAATTTTGGCACACTCGATTTGATTTGCTTAAAAACTATATTCAACACAAGTTGAAGTTTCATATGTCATGCAGACGAAGACCTAATTTGTTGGCACCACAATTAAAATAATTCGTTCACATGGGTTACACTAATTAACAAAATTTGGACGAGAAGAATTTAAAAATATCCACTTGTTTGACATTAAGGCCAAAATATGCTAATTTTCTAATAAATTGAATCAAGGAAATAAGATGCTATGAACTTCAATATTTTGTCTTCACTCTCTCAAATTTTTTATATATATAACTTTTATTCAATTTGAACTCGGAATTATGTATCACTAGACCAAATTATCATCGACAAATCCTGTTTCACATTTAAAAAAACAGAGAGTTTTTGTTATGAAGGAAGAGAAAGGGTTTGATAATTAATTAAACAACTATACAATTGAAATTGTGAGATTAATGAACATACCTGGATCTCAAGTATAAGGTTGTGGCCTCTGAAGGCAAAGGCAATCATTCCAAGGGCATTAAGAACATCAAAAAAATGGATGTATTGTTTGTCGGCTTTCACGGGGTCATAAGACACATTGAGGAGCTTGCCCTTGTCCAAAGAAACAACCCATATCAATGTGGAGTAGCCAATAGCAGAAATGGCACCAACAAGAGACACTCCAGCAATGGAGTTCAAGTTGGGCAGCTGAGAAAGAATCGAAGCTACCACTGTAAACACCAAGTACCACTCTGCTGGTGTTAAGGACTTTACAGTGCATGTTGGTCCACACACAATTTGGAAGAACATCTTTGCTGTTGACCCTCCAAGGACGATCAGAGCCACACACGTGCCGCCCGATAGGTACAGGATTGGGAACAAGGCTAAGAACTGTGCTAGCTTCTCAACTGAATTGAAGAAAAAGATTGCATGGTTTAGTAGAAATTGCTTCCAGATTGTGTCCTATTTCATCAAATTGCTTCCAAATTGTCCCTTATTTCATCAAAGAAGCAAGACACCACGAAAGGACATCACTTAAATTGCTACACACACCAAAGAAACCAAGCATAAAAAAGAGAGAGAAGCTTATAAGAAATTTTGTGGTGGTCAACAAGAGACTTATAGTTCAAGTGGTTAAAATAGTATTTATCTCAACATTGCACCCGAGGTCCAGACTGGATTTCCTCCTCCCCATATATTACTTGTATTTAAAAAGAAAAAAGAAGTTTGTAGCCGTACACGTACACCTAGCACAAGAAGATGATGATCATGTTGTTGTTGTAGGGTATGATGCATTTACGTGACTATTGGCATTAAAATTTCCAATATGTCGGTCATGTGGAGGAAACATGAAATGGTGAGCTGGACTTGTTCCGGTTAATATGTCATTCTTTCAAAGAGTATGATTGAGCATTGAACTTTTAAATCCCAAAACTTTATCATCATAAACTAGTAGCATCAAATCACAAATGTCAATATATGTTGCCATTTTGTCCTACAACATGATCCTATCAAAAATCTAGTGTCATTTATAACACTTTTAAGTTGAGCCTTTGAGAAATTACAGGCAATATTGCTTTGATGATGTTACCAATCAAAAGGAGATCCTAGCTATGGAGTTCAAGTTGGAAAATTGGGCACAATAAAGCACTGTGTACCAGTAATGGATCACAATTCACTCCATCCTATTTATCTATCCATTGGCTTAGTGGGCTTCTATTTCACATCCATACAATTTGATCTCTACACCTGAATAATAGAAACTATTATGACACTGCTCTTTAAAATGTTCTAAAATACCTTGAGCTAGCAAATGTTGTACTTTTTAAATTATGATACGAGAGTATGGAGATAAAATTTCTGAGTACGCGGGTAGAGATTTCAAGTTTTCTGGACACGACCCATTTAATAAATTGGTTATATAGGTATTTTGGCGGGCTAACCCAAAAATGACATGAATTTTTATCGTGCGTTTAAACCCGCTAATTTCCCGGATTATTAATTTAATTCTTTAAATATATGTATTCTGTAGATTAAATTACATTCATTTAACTTTATTTAATATGATCATGATGTTCATTACCCATCGTAGTGAGTAAAAGTATTATCGCAACAAAAAAACGAAAAAAAAAGAGGACTTAGAGAAAGAAAAAAAATTTGGTCGAGTTCATGTCATAAAAGTGCGATCAGTTGGATATTAGTCAACAAAACCAATTATATACTTTATTTTAATAAAAATGATCCGTCCTCTTTTTTGGTTAAAAAAGTGATTTTCTGAACGCAAACAACAAATTTTTTAATGAAGAAGAAGTGTGCCACATGAAAGCATAAAAGAAAGGGAAAAAAAAATATATATTGAATATCCGCATGATAGTAAAATATCAAATGGGAATCAAGAAATGTCTTTGTATTAAAAGAAAAAACAAACAAATTTATTTGTAATTGCCTTTTCAAATTCTATTGGTACACAGGAGGTAGAACAGTATGGCTTATTGGGCTGTGGTCGGACGTCGGGCCAGCCCATTAGTGGAATTGCTCCAAGTAGGGAGGATTGACATGAACCTTGTTTATGGGTCCGGTCAGGTCTGAACACTGATAGTGAAGAAAGGACGTGGCATCATTGGGATCCACATTCATTGCCCCAATCGCTTCTCTCTCTGTAAAAGCCAAAAGGAGAGAGTCTGACTCCAAAACGACGGCGTATCACAATCAAAAGATAACTCTTTGAATTTACAAAGCCCTTTGCTTTATCATCTCAGCATCTTTGCCATACAACACACATATCCAACACTTTTCCACATTCACCTCCCCCCCTTTCGAATAGAGTTCGAGGTCATTAGTCAGTACGGTGAAGTCAACATTGACCTCAGTCACAAATTTGTAAAACGCAATGGGGCTTTGAGCTCCCTCTACAACTTCTTCAAAGACATTATTATTCCACAACACAAACACCTCATACGAATCAATGCTTTCAAACCCCATAGCATCACTGTGTAGATTACACAAAGGATGGTTGACTTCATGGCTTTCACCATTACTAGTTTTGAAGTTGTACTTGCATCCAATCTCCATTTTCCATGGAGCATAGCGTTTGTATGCAACAACAATAGATACAGCGAAACCCAAGAAATCTGTGCTAAACCAATCACGAGGAAGCTCAATCTTTATTGAACATCCCTCACTTTTATGGCTGAACCAATTTGGAATTTCACTCCCAGAACATCTAATGGCAATGGAAGACTCCTATACCATGGATATCATAGTTATTAAACTCGTGAAAAAAAAAGAGCAACTTCTTCAACAGAAGTGAGTTGACTATGTGCACAAAACAGTTTAGAAAGAAAGACAATCTGATATTGTAGATGATGGATGGGTCTAATTAAGTTGCACCTGAGGGTCCAATTAAGCAGTTTAGAAAGAAAGAGAATGGAAAGCAATTGCTGCAATTGCTCTAGTTGACGTGACTTGACTATGTGTCCTGAGGGTCCAATAAAGCAGTTTAGAAAGAAAGAGAATGGAAAGCAATTGCTGCAATTGCTCTACAATTGCTCTACAATTAAGAAGTTTGATGATGTTACAATTGCTGCAATTGCTCTACAATTGCTCTAGCAATTAAAATATTAAAGTTGTAGATATAACATGATGTTGTAAGGCTAACGGCTGAAAGAAACCAGAACCAAAATAAATCAGTTTTTTTATTCCATACCTGATATGATATTTATGCCAGTTTTGATCCGTAAAGAATTTAACGGTCCATGCCATTACACATAATTTGAACGTAGTAGCGCTTTGTTCAATAGATAAACCCCTTCATTTTACTTGGATCTTCCCATTTGAATAACCAACGGAAGAGCTTTTACAAAATTGGTCTGCAACTTTCATCATCTAAAATTGGTGGTTGTTTACTAAACACTGTGAGGAGAGAGGAAAGTGCGAAGGAGAAAGAGGGGTCGATATTGTCCTTGAAGCGTTTTTCTAGTTGACGAAATGCAAGCGCATAATTCCCCTTTTGTTTTCGTACATCTGATGGACTGATGTCGGAAAAAAATGGGTACAACCAGCTGGCCTTTTTTTTCTTTGCAGTCTAGAATATCCACAAGTTCATCCAGACACCAAGTGGAAGAAGAATTTTTTTTTTTTGAGAAAATGATTACCGAAATCGTAGATCTCTCGATTGCTTCGAGGAGGGCAGGCGCAATTTCACCTCCTCTCACAAGCCTGTAATCTATGTAGGTTTTGATTTTCTGCCTACATAAAGCATCATAAAGATGGCTGGTAAAAGTAAGGCGGGTGTCTTCACCTCTGAAGCTTATAAACACATCATACTTTTCTTGAAGAGGGGGCATATCAGTATCAGCAGCAGCAGCAGAAGATGTTAATGATCTGAAGTAGATGTAGAACAGAGTCATGATGAGTATGATGACTATGATGAAAACTTGAAAGAACTCAATAGATTCCATATCTGTTTCTCTGAAGGCACCAGAGCTATAATGAAAGGAAATCTGATATTTGAGATGAAAACTTGAAGAAGAAAGATAATCTGATGATCCAATTAAGCAGTTAAGAAAGAAAGTGAATTGAAAGCAATGCTCTAGTTGACGTGACTTGACTATGTGCACAAAGCTACAAAACGATCCAGGAAAAAGAGAAGTGACATAATTAGGCAAGGAAATTCAAGCATTCATACACTGAAGAAAGGAAATTCAAGCATTCATGCACAAACTTTTGCTTTTGAAGATAAAAAAGCACAAACGATCAGGACCAAGAACTCAACTTTCGTGCATTGAAACCAAGAACTTAAGCATCCTAATGCAAAGCATTTGTGCAGTCAGAAAAGTTTATTGAAGATTTTCTTCCCCTTATAACCAGGACACGCTTTTTGTCTGCAAAGGTAGAAAACTTTAACGTCGTTGATGAAGCATGCGTCAAGGTGACCAGGTTTGTGACGCATAGTGATATCATCATAGTGACGTCATGATTGTGACGCACGACAGGGAACAAGACTAGCATTTGTGCGATGCACCACTGGTATCTCATATTTCTTTTTGCAATTTTTCTTGTGTTTCGCATATATATAAAAGGTATTTCATATGCCCGATTTTTATTTTTTACTTCACTTCGTTCGAAATATTGGTTGTTCCATTCGAGGACGTCAATAATGTCAATATAATATTGGGTAAAGTTAATTATAAGATCTTAAATTTCATGATTTTTATTATAAGACATAAATGGTTTACATACCTTGATGATTAGTCTTCTAAAGTAAACTCAGCTCTTCTCATGGCATCCGTTGTCCCAATCGCTTCTCTCTCTGTAAAGAGTTTGACTCCAAAACGACGGCCAATCACAGCTCTTCTCATGTCCACTGGGCACGCTTTTCTTTTTTCAAAAACCAAAGTCATGACAGCCAGAAGATACATAAAAGGAGGATGAGGACAACATGAACCTGTCTTTCAACTCAAAAGCACCTTGGCCATCCTCAGCCACGAGTCTTGCAAACAGCTCAAATAAAAATGATATTGCACCTCAAACTCAAAACCATTAAGTAATAAATAACAATAATAATAATAATAAAATTGAATTTAAGGATAAACATTCATAATCGCTTGATCGATAAAGCCCTCTGCTTTATCATCTCAGCATCTTTGCCATACAACAGACATATCCCACACTTTTCCACCTCCACCTCACAGGGCTTATTAAAAACACTCTTCAAGTGGAAGTGAACATTGACCTCAGTAACAAGTTCGTAAAACGCAATGGGGCTTGGAGCTCCTTCTACTACTTCTTCAAAGACATGATTATACCACCCCAGAAACACCTCATGTGAATCTCCGCTTTCAAAGAATTTTCCCGGGAGCAGATGAAACAAACGATGGTTGACTTCATGGCTTTCACCATTACTGGTTTTGAAGTTGTACTTGCATCCAATCTCCATATCCCATGGAGTAGAGCTAACAACAAGAGATATAGCGAAACCCAAGAAACCTGTGCTAAACCAATCACGAGGAAGCTCAATCTTTATTGAACATCCCTCACTTTTATGGCTGACCCAATTTGGAATTTCATTCCCAGAACATCTAATGGCAACGAAAGATCTCTTGCGAAAAGATTCCTGTACCATGGATATGGACATCACAGTTATTAAACTCGTGAAAAAAAAAAGAAGACAGAATGAGTAAGAAAGACAGAGTGTGTGCGTGCGGTCGAGAGAAAGAAAGATAGAGATAGAGACCTGCTCAGAAAGAGAGAGCATCATCATATATTCTGAATCATGTGATGCTTGTTCAATTTTTCCTTCAATTTTGTCCTCTTTAAACTTTGAAAACGCATTTGCCATTCGCATAATTCTGAGCTGTGCATCACTCATTATGTTGCTTCGTGCATCTTGATCCAACTTTGGGCAACCAGAAAATATATATTTCTCATGAAGCCCCCGAGAAAATATATATTCGCCCCAACCTTGTGTGAGTGCAGTGCTTGAACTTGACACTGTCTTCAGTGACGTGCAACGATGTGCTTCAAGATATCGCAGCAATGGGGGGAGCTCTGGTAAAGATTCAAGGCTCTTGCAATTGCTTAGGCGCAGGCAAGACAACTGAGCAGCTTGTTTGATGCTTGCAGGTATGCTCTTAATTTTGGTCCAACTCAGATTTAACTCTTGTAATGAGGTTAAGCAAAAGAGGTCATCAGGGACAACCTCAAGGTTCTTGCAATTAGTGAGAAAAACTTTTCGAAGCGCAACTAGATTTCCAATTGATGGGGGTACTTCTTTAACCGCTGTACCTGATAACTTAAGAAACGTCAGATGTTCCATAGCCTCCGAGATTTCTGGGAAGTGTTGAAAGTTGGAGCAATCAAAGAGACTAAGTCTCTCCAGATATTTCAACTTCCAAATATACGTCGGGAGACTCACGAGGTTTTTGCAATTGTATAGTATAATTGCCTTTGTCTTCTTGGGAAGCTCCCAAAACTCGTGAAGAGATTCGCAGCCCTCTAGACTAAAAGAACCCGAGAGTTTCAGCTCACAACTGTTGCTTGGAAGACTTTTGAGGTGTCTACAATTTGTAATATCTAAATGAGATATTTTTTCATGAGACCAAACGGATGAAGGCAATTCCTCTATTGCTGTCTCAGATAAATCTAGGAATTCAAGATTGCATGGCATCTCGGGAAGATATTTGAGCTTGTAGCACAGCGCAAGGTCAAGATAAGTAAGCTTGCTAAGACGTTGAAAATACGAAGGAATTTCAACCAAACTTTGACAGCCATTCAGATTTATACGCTCAATTTTTAGACTCCGAGAAAGATTTGGGACTTCAGTTAGATCTTCGCATTGACTAAGACAGATCCATTTTAAGTTCACAGGACCCTGTAACAAAATTAAAGAGAAACGGCAAGATTATGATTACTTTCTGTAGGCCACAAGTTATTCAAGAACTAAAATAGCATATTTAATATAATATACCTCGTCTTCATTCCAAAGTTGCCCCTCAACTTTGCTGTCCTGCAGACTAAGGACAACAAGATTTTGAGCAGAAAATTTTGATGGCAAAGATTTCAAAGGATATCTATACCAGTCAAGACATCTAAGAGAATTGGGAAAATCGAGAGAAACAATTATTGGGTACTTGAAGATACTTGAAATGCCCGACTGATGATGATAATAACCGACACGTAGCCATCTCAGTTGATACATCTTTTCGAAGTTTGCATCTTTCAAGTGTAGGTTTTCAATATCATTCCAGTCAACGGATATGGCTTGAGCAGGTAGAGCTCTCTGACAATCACGAGGAAAATATAAATGTAAATATAATATACAAAAAAAGGTTTAATCAAAATTACATTTATAGGGTTAACTTGACTTGTTTATTGTAAATGTGAATAATTAAACTACCTGGTTATTTATCAACACTTGATAGACATCTTCTGAAATAAACAACCTAGTGCGTTTTTCAATACGTTGTTCTCGAGCAATTGCCCTACCCATTTCTTGCACCAAATCATGCATATCTATCTGTTCATCTGACTGCATACCTAACCGTACTCCTTTTGAAATTGATATAAGAGAGCTATCAATAAGATCATTGATTCCCGCTTCCCCAAAGAAATCACGACTATCTAATAATTCTTTTACATAATACCTCTCATAGCCTTTATGAAAACATGCTATATCAAGAAATATCTCCTTCTCATGTTTTCCTAATCCATCGTAATTTATTCTCAACACTTGATTGATTTCTTCGTTTGGAAATTGTTTCACTTTTTTCCATTGAACTTCCCACTCTTGTTTGCTCTTGCAACGACGGAATGAGGACCCCATAACTTTAAGAGCTAATGGATTGCCCTTAACATAATCCACCACCTCCCTTGACAACTCAGTGTGATCTGTTGTTGGAGACTTGTTTCCAAAAGCATGCGAATGAAAAAGCTCAAAAGCGTCATCAGACCCTAATCCCTCAACATTATATATCTTTTCATGGTCAACTTTTTGCTCAAGTAGGCCTTTATCTCTAGCAGTTATAATGATTCGACTTCCTTGGCAAAACCAATCATGATCACCAACAAGAACTTCTAGTTGTTTCCGAGCATTCACATCATCAAGAACAATGAGCGCCTTCGTACGCCTGAGCCTATCTTGAATATGAGGTGGTATAGATGGAGTGTCGATATTTACACCTTTTTGCTTTAATATCTCACCAACAAGTTTATTTCGCAACTGATGTAGTCCATTCGTTTGTTCTGAGTTCTCCCTGACATTTGCAAGAAAACAACAAACTTCAAATTTAGAGGAGTGCCTGTGAAATACAGCATCAACAAGGGTGGTCTTGCCAATACCACCCATGCCCAAGGATCCAGAAAAAAGACAAGTGAAATAATTAGGCAAGCACTGTCGGTGGACAAAAATTCAAGCATTCACACACTGACGAAAGGAAAGGGCACATGGGAGTGGCAGCACAATGGACCCCCTTATAATCGCTTTACGTACAAACTTTTGCTTTTGAAGATAAAAAAAAGCACAAACGATCAATAGAGATTAAGAGATAAAAAAGTAAAGCGAAGGAGATTTGACCAAGAACTTTCGTGCATTCAAACCAGGAAAATAAAGCATCCTGGAAATTAATAACTCCCTTGAGCCGTCTGTCAACAGAAGAGAAACCCCTCATATCGACTTTGTAGTTCAAAGGGGCACCAAACCACACAGCATTGGCCCAGGGACATAAGAACAACAGGTGCTCAATTGTTTCTTCCTCCACTCCACATATAGGACACACCAGGGACAGGGAGTCAAGAATTTTCCTTCTATAGAGATTCCAACAAGTAGAGATGGCATTATATAATACTCTCCAGAGGAACATTATAATTTTTGGCATAGTCTCAATCTTCCATATACACGCCCAGACCTCTTTTGGAATTGAGTGGGAGGCCGAAACAGTCGCATGGCTTCGATATGAGTGCCGGTAATGAATTCTTGTATATCATGATTTGACTGAGTAGGCACCATTAGTTGTCCAGGGCCACACTACTCTGTCATGCCTCTCAATGTTCGCAATTGTGCAACATCTGATAATCTCCAGAGTACAAGGTTGTACATACGGTTCAATCAATTCTAGATTCCAAGAATAAGACTCCTTATCCATAATGTCAGAAACTAACTGAGAGGCTGATGGAGGAACAGTTTGCCTAATTTTGATAACCCCTTCATGGGGAGGAGGAAGCCAAATATCCTTCCAAATATTCGTATATTTTCCATAAAAAATCTGGCAGCGAGAGTCTTTTATCAAAGCTACGGATTTCAAGTTGGGAAATTGGGCCACAATAAGCACTCTGTTCCTGTCAATGGACCACACCCATTATTTGTCAATTAGCTTAGTGGGCTTTTTGTTTACACCTATACAATTTGATCTCTACACCGAAATAACAAAGCCTATTATAAAAAGGGTAAATGGCCGAAAACTCCCCTGGACTATTTCGACTGTCGAAATGTCCACCTTGGAAATTTTTTTCAGCCAATTTAGCCTTCGTATTAAATTTATTCGCCAATTTCACCCTTGCCGTTAGCCTTTTGACAATTCCATCCAGATGCCTGTCAAATATAAGGATAAATTTGACATTTTACAAGGTAATGCATTAAGAAAAGTAAGGAAAATGTAATATAATATATTTAAAAGGTATAGCCACCCGGTTATACTGGCAATTTCATTGTACAGAGGAAACCTTCACATAGTCCAGATGTACCTCGATGGCTTATGCCAACCCCTAAAATTTCTCTCAAGGACTTCAAATCCCTTTTACCCCATCGCTCTATAGCTCTCTCTCGCGTCTGCTCCACCTTCCCTGCCACCTCCTCTAACCCTAACCATAACCCTTCTTTTGTTCCAGAACAGCTCAATGAAGCACCAAAGGTGAACACTTTGACACACCCCAAGATTAAATTCGAAGCACCAGAGAATGTTGTTGCTGATTGCGAAGCTGGGCCTTTTGGGGTCGACAAGGATGAGAAACAATCGGACGGTGCTGATTTTACGGTGAAACCCGTTGATGGGTCTGATGCATCTCTTGCTTTTAAACTCGATTTGCCTGAGAAAGGTTCGAATGTTATGGATGTTGGTGCAAATTCATTAGCCTGTGAAGGTTGAGAAAGTGGATGAAGTGGAAAACACCAATTTGAGGTATGCAAGAATAGGCAACCAACAGATTGAAGTATCTGCCTGAAGCTTGATTGGCTTGTACCAAAACGTTTGCGGTCTGACCAGGTGCAATTGAGAGAGAGAGAGAGAGAGAGAGAGAGAGAGAGAGAGAGGTGGTGGTCTGGTGGGCTTTTATGTGCGGCTGTCGTTGGGTGTGTAGGGGCTGGGGGAGGGATGTGGAAGAAGAGAAGATAGACAAAGAAGAAGAGAGAAGAAGGATCAAGAGAATTGGTTTGCAGGGTTGGCATGTGCAATTCCCGTGGTGTTTTTAACAGAGATTTGGATGGAAATTGCTAAAAACTAACGGTGAGGAGTAAATTGGCGATAAAATTTAGTAGGAGTGCTAAATTGGCTGAAAAATTATTTCAAGATGTAGATTTCAACTAGCGTGATAGTTCAAGGGGGTATTCGCCCATTTACCCTTATGAAAATTCTACTCTATCTTTAAGACGTTGTAAAATACTTCAATCTAGCAAATGTTGTGCTTTTCAAAATATGATATTCGTGTGGAGATAAAATCGTGAGAACAGAAACTCTTTAAGAGCATGTCCACCCATGAAAGCTAAGGCAAGGCTAAGGCAAGGCAAGGGCTGCCACTATTCACGTGAATAGTGGCAGCCTTGCCTTAGTTGGTTCCACCCTTGGAAAGCTAGGGCAAGGGCAAATACTATTTATATGAGATATGAATAGATGAATTTGTATAGAGTTTTTGGTGTGGGGAATAAAGAATATGCCTAGGTATTTATTTAAAAAAATTCTGGAATTTTTTGGTATTTTTTTTCCATTTTTTTGGTTGCTGACGTCATTATGACATCAGCATTGCATCATCCTGCCCAGGCTGCAGCTCGGGCTGAATTTGCCTGTGGGCTTGCCTGGGCTCGTGAGACCCAGCTCTTGCCCGGGCTGGATTTCCTGCGCTGGAGGGGGAAATGGGCTGGCGGGGGCCTTTTGCCCAGGCAGGGCTCCTACGCTGGAGGTGCTCTAAGTTTTCTTTGCTTTAAAGAGTCCTAGAGTCATCAGATTCATATTCGTACGATGAGTAGCCAAGCCATACGGTGTAGAGCTGCCATGCAAATGCTAGTGACAAGCATGTAGTTAGTGTACCCCACGCTCGCTACCATTGAGAAATGTTATTGCTATTAATGGTTAAGTATACGGTTTTAGCTCCAAGGTGGAATTGTTATACCAAGTAATCGTATTCTAGTCAATGACCTTTTCATCTATTGAGCTTGTCACTGGCTATTCTTGTTTGTTTTGCCTGATAGGCCTTGGGCTCTCTCTTTAAGAAAATCCAATGTTCATTCTTTGTTCAGATTTTATAACCTTATGTAGGCCCAGGAGGAGAATGAAGTGGATAATGTGGAGATTGCCCAATAAGATTATTTCACATCCAAATTGTTGGGTGGATTAAGAAGCTGCAATTAGATTTTTGAGACATAGATGTTGTGCATTCTCCTTGACTATGTGGAAACATTTCACTACAAATATCAATCACTTTCTTTAAACATCAAAAAACCAAAACAAAACTACATACGGCTAGCTAGGGCAGCAAGCTAGAGTTTACAATTCTGGACGCAACAAATATATCATATATTTGACATTGATTTTCAATCACTGAGGCTTGAAGAAGCTCACCTTAATACCAGTATCAATCACAACATAAAGACCAGCTGCAGTCAACATAACACTTAAAATCATCCCCACAACCCCAAGCACCCAGTTAACCCCCCAACTTATGCCGTACTTCTTAGGCTTCTTCATCTTGATCCACATGAAACATGGATAGGCCAATGTCACAGGCAATGAAATCCCTCCTAGCAAACCAGCCACGCTTCCCAGGAAGGGGATGGCCACAGCCATGAAGTAGCATCCATAAGTAAACATGCATCTCACAATGGCCCTCAGCCACCATGGAGCTGGCTTCTTGAACCTCCTAGTGTAATGTGACTCCATCTCGTCGAACATCGGCATGCCATAGATTTGGAAGGAGCTCAATGCATTGACTATGACAAACAAACTTGCTAGCCCTAAGATGAATTGGGACGTGTCCTGCGCATGGAAGTTGAACAAGGCCACAAACATGCCTCCTTGTGGCGGTATCTGCGAACGAGAAAATATATTAGTGTTGTTGCAATTAAATGTTCTCTTATCAGATATCTAACATATTTTATATTATCATAATGTTAATTCAGACTACGTTCAAACATTCAAATAATAGTCCGAATTAATAATCTGAAAATATAACGTTTGCTTAGGGTATGGTATACCTTTTGACCGTATGCCCAATAGCCTACAATTGCAAGGGGGAAAAGGCACATTGCTATGAGTGTGTAGGAAATTTGGACACCCCTCCACATGGGCACTCGTGATGGATGTTTTTCACTGGATGGCATTGTGGCCTGTAATTAAGGGAAAACCTCAATTAGTGGAAAATATACAAAATTAGTCAGAAGCTTTGTATTGAAGTTGCTTTCTATTGTAGTTGCAGCTTCAACATCATTTGGTCAAAGTCAACATATCATATATGATCATCAGTAAAGACAACTATTTTATTTTTATTTTTTAATAATTTGGTGCACTCGATTTGATTTGCTTAAAAACTATATTCAATACAAGTTGAAGTTTCATCTGTCATGCAGACGAAGACCTAATCTGTAGGCACCACAATTAAAATAATTCGTTCACTTGGGTACACTAATTAACAAGATTTGGACGAAAAGAATTTAAAAATATCCACTTGTTTGACATTAAGGCTAATATATGCTAATTTTCTAATAAATTGAATCAAGGGAATAAGAAGCTATGAACTTCAATATTTTGTCTTCACTCTCTCAATTTTTTTATATATATGACTTTTATTCAATTTGAACTCGGAACTATGTGCCACTAGACCAAATTATCATCAACAAATCCTGTTTTTCATTTTGAAAAACAGAGAGTCGGGTTCTAAAATAATTTTCTGTTATTAAGGAAGAGAAAGGTTTTGATAATTAATTAAACAACTACACAATTGAAATTGTGAGATTAATGAACATACCTGGATCTCAAGAATAAGGTTGTGGCCTCTGAAGGCAAAGGCAATCATTCCAAGGGCATTAAGAACATCAAAAAAATGGATGTATTGTTTGTCGGCTTTCAAGGGGTCATAAGACACATTGGGAAGCTTGCCCTTGTCCAGAGACACAACCCAGATCAATGTGGAGTAGCCAATGGCAGAAATGGCACCAACAAGAGACACTCCAGCAATGGAGTTCAAGTTGGGCAGCTGAGAAAGAATCGAAGCTACGACTGTAAACACCAAGTACCACTCTGCTGGTGTTAAGGACTTTACAGTGCATGTTGGTCCACACACAATTTGGAAGAACATCTTTGCTGTTGACCCTCCAAGGACGATCAGAGCCACACACGTGCCGCCCGACAGGTACAGGATTGGGAACAAGGCTAAGAACTGTGCTAGCTTCTCACCTGAGCAAATTGAAGAAAAAGATTGCATGGTTTAGTAGAAATTGCTTCCAAATTACTGTCTTCTATTTCATCACATTTTTAAAGTTAAATGGGCATGTTTGGGAGTGTTTCCGAAAATATTAAAAACCCTTTGAGATGCGTTTGACAAAAGTGTTTTTGGAAGTTACAAAAGCACTTTATGGAGAAGAATTTCTAGTTTGGAAACTTTTTGAAAAAACACTGCGAGGTAAGTAAAAGCGTCTTTGCATAATCACTTCCAAACAGGGCTTTTGGGTATTTTAGCTT